TTTTTAGATGAATGAAATACCAGAATTGTTGCTTATGCTTAATAAAAATTGCCCTGAGCACAATGCCTGTTAGCAGGTTGAGAAGAAAAGCTAGCACAATACGGATGTGACATGATAATAATAATTGTTATTTTGGAATAGGGGAATGTAACTGCTGAAACATAGCAGAAGGGACAGGCAAGAAATCCTGTTCCAAAGTGATCTTGCACTGAGATGGGGTGGAAGAGGAGGGGAAGTTTTATTAATTATTGTACTTAAACCTGAGTGAAATGGCAAACATTGCTGCTTTTAAAACTTCCCAGCTGTTCCTTCCTTTGCTCTGGTGGCTGCTTGGAAGTTTAAGCAGTGATAAAAGCAAGGACTCTTAAAGCATTTTGCAAAGTTGTAGAAGACTTTAAACAGCTGGTATGATAAAACACCCACATATTCCCTGACAAATGTAAGCTCCACCAGTAGCTTTTAGAGAAAGAATCCATACCAGAGCTGTAAAAGAAATAAAATGTTTAAGTGTAGAGGTGACTTTCTGGGTTTTCCCAGCTCAGTAAAGATATATCTAACCAGCCATTATCACACAGGTGCACGTATATCATTCAACATCAGACATCAAGGAAGAATAATCACCTAGAGTGAGAGAGTAAAGTTCAATGAAAGTTTGAAAGCATTACACATCAGCACTCCTGGAAGTATAATCAGACACCCCAAAAAAATGACTTCCAAGCTTTTGTTTGGTCGATGAGTTTGGGTTTTCTGGCTGCATCAAATGAGAATTCATACACATCTGTCTTCATTAGACTTCTTCTAAAAACAATTGTACATTTCCTGGAAGCTCATTAACAGGGGAGCATTGCCAGGCTCTTATTCATAACGGCCCTGATTCAGCAAAGTACTTAAACATGTGCATTGGGCCCAGTAATTTATGATAAAAGGTATAAAAGCAACCCAAACTTTTTCTAAGTTGTAGAAAATACTAAGCCCCCCTTTCACTTGCATTTTTAGTGAAAATTGTGGTCAATTCCTCTCATCTTTGATCTGATTTGTTTGAAATAATATGTTCAATATCTACCTATCTGTGATTCTATCAGTCAGCATAACATCATACCCAGCTCAAAATTTTTGGTGACAGTGTCTCTGCATCTGCTGGTTCCTCCTGGTTTCTTCTGGAATACTTCAAATTCCCCTGTGACAGCACCAGCTATTACTTGTTGAGGACAAAGACATCTTTGTCTTTGTCTGGTGTCTGTCCTACCTGGCCAAAAATTCAGCACAAACATTTGACTTAATTAACTCTTGGTCAAACTCTCTCCTAAATGTCTCTTTCCCCACCAGTAATTTGTATTCCTTGCATTTTTTTAATCCTGCATTGGCCTGCTGTAAATTATGTCCCATGTTGAAGGACCAACTGCTCTGTGTCTCAGCTACTGATTCCAGCCTGCCTTCTAAAATGCATGCATTAGAGGGTAGCTGCAGAGCTGGAGGAGTGCTGAGTTAGGTAGTTTGAAGTTCTCCACGTTATGCAGTATGCTCTGACATCAGGCAGTTTTTGATGTCCTTTACAAGTGTCTTTCCCTGAGTTTGCTGAGTTTTTCTTGGCTCTTTCCAACTGAACTGTGATGGAGATGTTGAGGGCGCTGTAGGATGGCAAAGCTGTGCTGCTAACGTGTACTGAGGGCCGTCAAGCTCTGCTAACTGTGTTGCTGGTATGTGCTGAAAGTCTCCAAAGATATTACTGCCTTTGTGTCCTTCTGCTTTTCATCGCCCAACTTAAGGCACCTCAGCAGGAAAACAATTTTCGGGAAACCGTACATTCCTGCCTTTGCAAACCAGCTCCCTGGCTGGACAGCTTCCTGTCACTCTTGCATGCATGTATTTCTCACCCCCTTTTAGCTCTCAGGATCTTAGGGATGGCTTCTCAGTGCAACAGATTGTGGAACATGCAGGGAGAGCTGATGCCCTAACCCTGAAGCTAATTAGACCCTGAATGGCAGCAGGACTGCTCCCAGCTCTGGCCAGCATGGATATGGCTGGACAAAACACTGACATTTTCATCAGACTCTAAACGAGAATGCAGGGAAAAGCCCTTCATGTAGTTGTGGGTTTTTTAATAGTTTAAATATCTCTTCCTAATGCACTTTCCACATTTGATTGGATTTGTTGTTCACTGCTGAACTGTATCCAGCTTTGGTCCACCAGAGGAGGACCTTGTCCCAACAACCTCCAAAGCACCAGTATCTACTGTTGCTTTGCCTAATTTATTGCAACTTCACTGTTCCTATTCCTGCAGGTTGATAACCCCAACTGTGATTCAGTCCTTACTATATACTAGGCACTGTACAAACATGTAGGCAGGGATTAGCATCCCTCTGAAAAAGTCTGTAAACTAAATAGATGAATAAAAATATAAGGAGGTGAAATGATTTCCCAGGGGAAAAAGATGATTTTCAGATTTGCACCTGATGGCACCAGGTCTCACTGCCTGGTCATTAATCCCCAATTTCCCAAGGGAGCATGTGTGTTTACCTGCTGGAGGTCCGCAGCTGGAAAGCCTACTGGCTACACATTTCTTATTGCAGTTCTGCAGGAGACAAATCACTGCCTGTTTGACACACAGAGTTGTACAAAGTGTCACTACAGAAAATGTTTCGTGCTGTTGATCTTCCAAAGCATCATCACTGGCAGCAGGACACTGGCTTCAGAATGGGTAGATTGTGCTTCCACAAAGCTAATTAAAATCATTAGCAGCAATCTGTGATCAACTGCCAGAAGCTATCCTTCATAACAGTAACCTCACTTTCCCCCTTGTCTGCTTGAGTAAATTTATGAGTTATTCTGAAGTTTATTATCTCCCTTTTAAAAAATAATTCATGCTTATTTTATAGTGAGTGGAGACATCTCAAAATGATTATGTATACCCAGATAAGCAATAAAAATCACAGAGGTCATGGAAGAGAGAGCCTGTTATGAATGTTACAAGTGCTCTGCCTCTGCTGCTAGGTTCAAGCCCAGAATCTTTGCCAAATCCCCTGAAGTCAGATATCGTGCTCTCTGCTTGTTACAAATGCTGCTTAGTAGGACTCTGCTTAATAGGAATGGGGTGGAAGGATGAAAGGGGAATTCTTGACCAGAAAATAGTCATGAAACAATATCACCATTTAATCTTCCCCAAGTTTCTAATTCCCTCATCCTCCACTGTTTCCAGCTTTGTATCCTTTGGAAATGGACAGAAACAAGAATTTCATGCAAGCTTATATGTGTGTATTTGTGATATGGATAAAAACTTTGACAAGGATTTATACAGCTTCTGAATATTTGAATTAAGAGTACAGTTGCTCTAAGTGCCTGGACAGAGAAGGGTAGCTCAGTTCACTGAATATAGGTTGTGACCCCAATAAATCAAATTAATACTGCTCTCCACTGAACCTTTACTTGTCTTGGCTGTTTAAAGTGTATTGTATTTGCCTTTACCATGTTTTACAGTGATTCTCCAGGTGCTGACACAAAGCATTACAAATGTAGCATATTTGTAGGCCACATTACACCTGCATTGTGCTGTGTGTCTGCTGCAAGAGGTGTGCTAATTTCAGCTGTACTGAGAGCTGCTTGCCACAAATATTTTGGCAGTGAAATCGAGTGGCTAAAACAAAAGTGTTTGGGCTACTGTGGGCAATTCTTTGTGTGGCTGATTGCTTTCATAGACATGGAAATTCATGCTGGAAACATGGTTCTAATAATTAAGTTCATTTGGATATCTAATGTAGAGTGCTGATTTAGTTCTGTCATAATAAATTCCAGTTTTTCTTCTTTTGTGTTTGCAGCAATATAATTCTTACTGGAAGAATCATTTCTGCTCTACTTCTGCTTTCCATTCTCTGGTTAGCTCTAGTGCCATTTATTAAATGGACTTGTCCAACTTTATAGTTTTTAAAAAGAACAGGATCCAAGTGATTTCTCTCTACCAAATTATCAAATACAAATCTCTGAATCCTAAGTGATTAAACTGTATCTAAAGTTGCTTAATGACACCGTTGTTGTGCTCTGGCTCTTTAAGTGGGCTGGCCTTTGAGGTCTCACGTAACTCTGCCAAAATCTCATTGCTCTTATACTGGTTCTCTTGAGCAAAAAAAGCACAGCTTCCATTAATGATGATAATTGGCAACAGCAGTGGTAGTAAAGAACTGATGTCTGCTGAGGACAGCCCTGGCTGCAGGAAATTGTCTGAAGTGCCTGGGTGAACAGCAGAAGAGCCATTGTCTGCTTTGCCTCTAGCAAAGATTGTTTGCTGGTGATAGTATCCTCAGTAAGCACTAATGTCCCTTTCTTGTGTGTGATGCCACAACAAGCTCCATGTAGGACCCCACTTTTTTTTTTCACCAAGACCTATAAAACTACAGTGTTTGCTGAGTGCGAGCACTGGTTATGCTTGTGACACTTGTTGTGGGGTAAGGGCCTTGCCCATGGGCTCCTGATGGAGATTTAAGAAGTCTCCTGCTGGCAAGGCTTGCAGGCCCTTAATAGACCTGGTTTTCCATGCTGAGGAAGCAATTTCAGTGCCTATGAGAATATTACTCTAGGCCTGAATCCAGTGACCTTTATTCAACTTTTACTCAACCAGAAGGAAAATTATGGAAATTGGAGGAGGGGGAGATTGAAAACCTTTCGAAGGAATGTTTTCCTCTATGGTGCCACCAGGACTAAAATGGCACACATTAGCCACTGGCTAGAGGATCACCTCTGGCTGGTTCAATGTCCATGTGCCAGGTAAGGCTTTGAGGGATCATTCCCCACCTGTGATAAATTATAGATGGGTTTTTTTGTACTTTAAGTCCCCTTGAGAAGAAGAGGGGAATCCAAAGCTATTGCGTCACCCAAGAGGGAGGCATTCACCCAATTAAGGGCTGATCCACTTAATCTCCTCAGCCTAGTGCCCACATCTGTAGCTATCTGCCTGCTCCTCAGTCCATCTCTCTTCCAGCTGAAGCTCTGCTCTCCAAGTGTTCCACATGCTTGGGGTCATCCTTGGCCTCTCTGCAGGCAAGACTGCAAGATATTTGGGTACATGAGGAACACAGGTAAGAAAAAGGGGAATTTTCGTGCCCTCAGTTGGGATAGAGGCAACCTAAGGCTTTGCTCCCTGGGCAAATAATGTGCTGCAAATTCCACTCCTTGAAGAAAAGACAAAGAGTACCTCAGAAGTATGGCTGGGAGGGCATATTCCCCTCCTGCCCAGCCCTGAGTTGGAGCTGTGTGATTCCCTTGTGAAGTATGCTCCAAAGGCCAAACAGTGGTTGTTTGGCTGGGATCCCTATCTGCTCAGCGGAATACAAGGTTTTGAAGGCAATACCTGAGACTGCAGGAAGAAAAGATAAAAACTAACAACATTCCCCAGCTTTAACTGAGGTGCTGCTCAGTCAGAATCTGCTCAGATTCCTTTAAAAGTGGTAAATGCTCCATCTCTGCCAGTATTCAAGGCCAGGTTAGACAGAGCCTTCAGCGGCATGGTCTAGTGTGAGACATCCCTGCCCATGGCAGGGGAGTTGGGACTAGATAATCTTAAGGTCCTTTTCAACCCTAATTATTCTATGATTCTATGAAATAGCTGGTTGAGCCTGAATATGCCCAGAAACTGAACAAAAGCTTTTGCAAGCGTGGTCTCTGCCATGAACGAAGGCTGTACATGCAGCACCTGAGCTGCATAGCTTGGTGACAACTGGTTTTAAACCACAACACAGTCACCTCTGCAGCCATGCTGTGGGAAAGCAGCAGCCAGGCCGCATTCATCAGTTCATAGTGAGTAACTATATCAGCTCTGTGCACCATTCACCTAGTGGTGGGCTCTTTTCAGCTCTTCTTTCTTTCTTTTTTGGGTAGTAAGAAGCATCCTTCAAGTGAACATAAGACCATTTGATGTTACCATAAACCATTCTGCTGGCTCAAATCAAAGATGAGGCACTGAGGTGTTGTAAAAATCTTTGAGTCAACTAAAGACAGCTGGTTGAATCATTTCCCAGATTTTCATATGACTCATAAATTTGCTACATAGTGAGGAAATTCCCTGAAAGCTTCTTGGCAGGCACTTCCAGTCTGACCAGTAGCTAAGAAACACATAACCTTCCAGTTATAGGGGGGGAGCAGTGTGGAGAGGAAACAAAGAAGACTCTGCTTTTGGGTTTGAGCATGGGGTCAGTTGAAAATGTATTCCTGCCACCAAAGCCACAATCCTCCTGCACAAGAGGCCAGGAGCTTTAAGGGACAGCTTCTCAGATGTAACGCATATGTGCGAAAGAGTCTGCCTCCTCCCTTTCTCCTTCTACCGATACACCCCACTTCACACATGCACAGAAGTGCACATGGCAGAACTCTGTGACCTGTGGTGCACAAACCTGTGTATCAGTTGAGTACATGCCATTAGACCTTGTTTCATTTCTTGACAGGTAGCCCAAATCATGTCTTATTCAGGCATCTAAAAGCAAGATTGCAGATGTTTCTGTCACCAAGATCCACATTTCTTTGGGTAGTTAATGGTGAGCACCAATGAGCGCCTCTAAAGGGAAAAGCCTCTCTACCTTGTGTAGGAAGGTTGAGTGCTTGTGGTTTGGGCTGTTTGTGGGTACTTGTGTTCCCCATAAGACTTTCAAAGGTTTTTTTTTCGCACCACTGACTGTGTGGACAGAAATGTCTTCCTTCGAGGGAGCAGGTTAATTAAATATCTATCATCATGGCACAGATTGGGACCTCAGTGGTGGGACCTCAGTGAGCTCCCTGATGTAGTCCACCTCAAATTAAGCGGTGTGAATAAATCCCAGTGACCATCTGTGTCAATGCAAGCATTGGCCAAGTTCTTGCCTGGCACCCCAAAGAGCTTTTGAGCCTGGAGTTGCCCAGAAAAATGGACTGTTATCTAGAAAACTCCTCCAGCTTCAGATGTCACTGGCGCAGATATCTGCATCTGAATTACTCAGTTATACCTTCATAGAATCATATAATGACTTGGGTTGGGAGGAACCTTAAAGATCATCTAGTTCCAGCCCCCTACTATGAGCAGGGACACCATCCACTACACCAGGTTGCTCAAAGCCCCATCCAACCTGGCCCTGAACACTACCAGGGATGGGGCAGCCACAGCTTCTCTGGGCAACCTGTACCAGTGTCTCACCACCCTCACAGTAAAGAACTTCTTCCTAATATCTAATCTAAATCTACCTTCTTTCATTTTAAGCCACTCCCCCTTGTCTTATCTTTGTATGCCCTTGTAAAACATTCCTTCATGACTTTCCTCATGGCCAAAGGAAAGCAAAAGCAAGTTCTTCTCATCCTGAGTTATTGAAGACCCATGTCTTCATCTCTAGTATCATATAGATAAGCTTACAATATTTTTCTTTTTCATGTCCCTGTGATAAAGAATAAAACAAGGGACATATTGTTGAAAGCTGTGATGTGACATTATTAGTACCTCTATTAGTACCTCTATAGCAAGACTTCTGGTTGTTCTCTTGGGTCTCTAAACTCTATGCTTAGTTATCTTTTGAGGAACCACCAAGGCATCTGTCGGGCTTGGTGAGACAAATTGTTGTACAGCCCAGGTGTAAGCATGCACCCATGCTGGGGATGTGTATGTCATAGAATCATAGAATCAACCAGTTTGGAAAAGACCTCTAAGATCATCAAGTTGTGCTTTGTTGATGCTTGGTGTGTTGGCAGACCAATCATGTCAGGGTGGTTCCCTGTCACAGGACCATGGGGAGAATCCATAAACCAGCTGCATTAATTGACCCCAGTGCATAGGGTTGAGTGATGAGAGTGAGACGGTGTCCAGGTTGGAGAGTGTGAAGATGATGAGGGCCACCTTGCAGAGACACAGGGACCACCAGGGAGGGACAGGGACTCCAATTTGGGAGCTGTCAGTTCAGATATTTTAGCTAGCGCTTCAGAAACTGTGTGACCTGGCAGTTTGCCCCATGGAGTTTGCACACATTTAATTAATTCATTAGGTAATTCAACAGGCATGGATGGACAACCATGTATAACTCCCATTACAGTCCCAGTGTGTGAGCACACACAGGGACACATGCACAACATAACGTTGCTCCCCTCTTCCCAAATCCCGCTATGTTGAAAAAGGCCAGAGGAAACACAAACGACATTTTGTTTCTTCTCGGTAAAAAACACTTGCAAACTCTGACCAGCAAGAGTGGATTGCATTTCAGGGGCTTGTTTATTCATCGAAAGCTCAAAAGATTTAACAGTTTAAATAAAATGTCTGAATGAGGCTCCGTGTATGTGAGCCTCTGAAATGCTCTTTTGAGACAGACGTCTGACGCCTCGGAGGAGCTCCTCAGTGGCAGAGAGGGCTTTAGCAGCTTCAGTTGTGAGCAATTAAAGTTGATCAGGGCTTCGGACTGGTTGAAAACACAGAAAATCATGCCCAGTTCAGCTCTCCAAAATGCTTCTTCATGTCACATATTTGCCACAGCTTTAGCTTCAAATTGCAGGATGAAACATAGAGCCAATCACCAGGTTTAGGAGTAAAAATGTTCCTAGGAATTCAGAAACGCTACCAAACCATTATGCTGACTGCTTTCCAGATTGAATCTTTCTTTTTTTTTCTCTTTCTTTTGGTTGCTTTAATTTAGTAGAGGAAGTGAAGGCAAATAGTTTAATCATAACCATCCCTAGGGGCAATTTAGAATCATTTTCTCATTAGTGCATATAATACGCAGTATAAGTAATGTTCAATCAGATGGTTGCTACAAAGGCCTGTGCAGACACTGAAATGAAATGCAGTCCAATGCTATGAATAGTTGAATAAGAATAATCTCATCTTCTTGTATCTTGCTTCTTTGTTGGTGGGTGAATAGGACTTTCCCCCCTCCTTTCTTCTCTCTCTTTTTTTTTGGGGGGGGGGGAAGGGATAATCAAACTTTCTTCTAAATAGTAAAATCATGTTATAAAAGTGGAGGGATTCCAGGACTGTAAAGGCTCCAGGGAATTCAATCACAGACAGCCAAAGCCAGGAAGTATTTGAAGAGGGAGAAGAAAACTAAAACACAAGCAGGAAATATGTGCTCCATAAAGTTGACTTAACTGGAAGACATGTGTCACACATTGGAACTAGATGATCTTAAGGTCCTTTCCACCCTAAGTATTCCACGATTCTGTGATCTACAAGAGGGTCCAACAGTAGTACCTGTAGGTATTTTGGGAGAGGCAGTAGCTCCAAGGGCTTCTTCATCCCAAAAAGCCACTCAATTTATGATGCATTTAACTGCTCCCCAGTTTCATCACACAAGCTTGTATGGGTCAGGCTTAAAGTCAGATCACTGAAATTACATCAATTAAAAAGCAAGCTATGAAGATCCAAGATGGTGGGGCAGGAAGTTCTTGCACCATCTCTTCTGCGAGAGCTGGCACACCCCAGGGTGTAGATGGGTAGATAATTAAAAGTAAAAAACCTAGTGTTTGGATGGCCAGGCAGCTCAGTGACTGCCGTCGTGCTCCCATCAGCTGGAGTGGGCTGCTCAGTGACAGCTATGACAGCTGGCATATCATGGATCATCCTGATTACGATGGGAAGCACAGAGACCACTGCTTGTGATTTCAGCACAAGCTGGGAACTGAGGAAGGTGACACTTTCGTATTGGTAGAGAAAGAAGTTAGCAGGACCTCTAGTTGTCTGCCTTTCTCTGTATTTCTCAGTAGGCTCATGGCATGCTCAGAGTGGTACCCACTGGTTTTGATGGATCCTATCTGGGAGAATGGTGAACTCCAGGATTTCCTACTTTCCAGTTGGCCCCAGGGTGGTGACTGGGATTGGATGTTGTCTCTTGGATATCTAAGTCTCTGGATAAAAATGCAGTGGCTTCACTTGCCTTTTTTTTATAGTTTGGAAGAGATGCTAATGCTGCTCCCAGCATCCACAGAGATCAAAGGTATGAAATATGACTCCATAGCAAGGGGTTTTGCAGATCATTTTTCAGGATCATTCAATGAGGGCTTGAACCGCCCAAGTTTCACTTAATTCTTCATAACTGAATAAACCCAAAAATTCAAAGTGAAACTCAACCCAGAAATCCACGTTCAGCTTGGTTTTGGATGGAAACCAAAGGAAATCATTTAATCCCAACATGGTTTCCACCAGAAGCTCTGTATTGGTTTGGGTTTGGTTGAAACTCAGCTTTTGCTTCCCTTTGCTGAACAGCTCATGTAAACTATGGGGTAAGAAGAAACAAATTCAGGAAATACTTGTGTATTTTCCTGTAACAGTTCAAAAATATCTTCTGAACTCTATCAAACACATCAGTTCCATGAAACTCCAGGAAACACACCAGTCCAAATTCTCTGTAAATTGGAAATAAGATAAATTTGTCACTGTTTATCTTCAACACAAACACAGATATCCCAGTACTGGAAGAACTCTGAATATGTGGCATGAAAGCTTTTCCCATAGGTAGAAAGAAAAAGGCAACTCAAAAATAGATTCTTTGTTTTGATAGACAAAAATGAAAGGCCTGGACAATGCTATAAACTAGTTTTTCCTCTCACTTTTACAAAGTTTGACAGAAGCAAAAGCATCACACTTACTGCTGTAACAGACTTGGAGGATTTTTTTCTGAGATCTTAAAAATCATGGAGTTATACTAATGTCCTGTTGTGCAACAGACTTTGAGCAATTAAGGACAAGTCTACTTATTGATTTATGGGTCCTTGCAAGAAAAGCTTAATAATAAGGATAAAGGTGACAGGATAGTTCAGATAGTATCTTAGTTGTGAGCAGTGGGTATTGAAAATGGACATTTCTTATTTTAGGATATGCTTGTAGAAGTCCCATGAGAGACTGTCATAAAATATCAAGTTTACTAGACAGGCTTGTCTAACTCATATCCGTTAGACCATGAGAACATGGTGTTTCATATGAAGGGACAAGAAACCATAATTTATGCTTATGGGATGAGCAGTTCTGTGCAGAAGTATTTTGCTACCCCAACAATTAGGGGTAACCTGAACTCAAAGGATGAAGTACTTGGTCCTTTCAGCTTACAGATGAGTTGCTATCAGTAGCTCTGGACTGCTACTGTAAATTGGTATTTCCCTTTAGGCATGCTGGGTGGCAAAAATACTTGTTTCCAGAGTTTCTGGTACAGCCATTACTCCATAGGGAGCTCTGGGCATCTGCAAGCTGTGTACAAGGCAAACACACACCCTGGAGATATTTCATGGAAATCCCACTCACTGACTTTTTGGTTGTTTCTCCTCAAATGCCTCATTAATATATTCTCCACTAATAAATTTTTAAATTGCTCAACCAGTTCTGTAGAAAAACAAAAGTACAGTTGGGGGAGTGCTTGCTTGCAACATATTTTTCTGTAGAAATAATTATTAGCTAATAAAGTTGGAAGGATCTTGGCAGAGTTAAATCCTCCACTGGGATTGGGTGCTTCCTCTTTGGATCCTCTTGAAAAGACTCAAATTAATTTTGCTTTTGTTATAATTTGATTAGTCCTTGTTTCACAAGTGGTTGAGCTTCAAAACAAAGATTTATATCTGTGCAGCTAACCTGCATAATAGCACTTGTTGCTTCTTTTGACTTTCTTTAATACATTCAGTACAGTACATAAGCATATTTTAAAGACATGTGGAAATACAAACATAAAGAAAAGACTCTAATACCAAACCACATGCATGATGTTGTTGTGCTTCTCTTCTTACTTTGTCTGTATTCAAGAACATAATGTGTTTCGGCCAGGCCATTGTCAAAACAGACAGAGATTAATTGCTGCAGCCATTTGTTCTGTTACAAGAAAGATAAAAATAACTCATGACTCATGACAACAGTGAATATTGTGGAGCCAAACCCTGCATCCTATTTGCCATTTTCTAGCCTCAGCGTAGAAGCAAAAATGTGATTTTGAGAAATGATCTGATGCTATATTTAGTACCTCTGCAGTATTTATGCAGCTAGGGAAGTAGGTGTCTGGCATTGTCTTAAAGGACACACAGATGTGATTCAGGAGCCTGTGGATATGGGGCTTGAAATGGCTTGTGTATATTGGTAGGTATGGCTGCAGGGCAGAGACATAATCTTACAACACATCAGGAATCAGAAATCAGGGAAACCCCATAGTTTTGCTCAAGCTGTCCTTCAGCATGCACATGGCATTTACTAACGTGTTCACGGGACATAGACCATGTGCTTAGGCTCTGTGTGGAGGGGACCCTCAGTCTTAGAGTGAGGCTTGGAAGCTTGAATTTCACTGCAACGTGTGGGACATGTTCCCCATGTAAGGGGCATGCACATGAGTATCTTTGCCCATTTCCTCATATACCCTTAGCATTCTGAGGTTTCCAGCCCTTGGATTATTAGCTTGGACAAAGAGATGAACTTCACCTCTGAAGCATTTTCATGGTTTTAGATGACCAGTCAATCTCACCTCTGTGCCTGGCAAAATCTTGGAGCAGATTCTCCTGGAAGGCATGCTAAGGCACAGGAAAAACAACAAGGTGCTTGGTGACAGCCAGCATGGCTTCACTAAGGGGAAATCCTGCCTGAGCAATTTGGTGGCCTTTATGATGGGGCTACAGAACTGATGGACAGGGGTAGAGCAGGTGATGTCATCTACCTGGACTTGTGTAAAGCGTTCGACATTGTCCCACACAACATCCATGTCTCTAAATTGGAGAGACATCAATTTGATGGATGGACCACTCAGTGAATAAAGAACTAGATGGCTGGCTGCACACAAAGAGTTGTGGTCAATGGCTCAATGTCCGGCTGGAGACCAGTAACAAGTGGTGTCCCTCAGGGATCGGTGTTGGGACCAGGCTTGTTCAACATCTTTGTCGCTGACATGGACAGTGGTATTGAGTGCGCCCTCAGCAAGTTTGCTGATGACTCCAAGCTGTGTGGTTCGGTTGATACGCTGGAGGGAAGGAATGCCATCCAGAGGGACCTTGACACACTTGTGAGGTGGGCTGATGCCAACCTCATGAAGTTTAACCATGCCAAGTGCAAGGTCCTACACCTGGGTCGGAGCAATCCCAGGCACAGCTACAGGTTGGGCAGAGAAGAGATTCAGAGCAGCCCTGTGGAGAAGGACTTGGGGGTGTTGGTCGATGAGAAAATGAACATGAGCCGGCTTCAGTGTGCACTTGCAGCCCAGAAAGCCAACCGTATCCTGGGTTGCATTAAAAGGAGCATGACCAGCAGGTCAAAGGAGGTGATCCTGCCCCTCTACTCTGCTCTCGTGAGACCTCACCTGGAGTATTGTGTGCAGTTCTGGTGTCCTTAACATAAAAACAACATGGAACTGTTGGAACAAGTCCAGAGAAGGGCCATGAGGATGATCAGGGGACTGGAGCACCTCCTGTATGAAGACAGGCTGAGGAAGTTGGGACTGTTCAGCCTGGAGAAGAGAAGGCTGTGTGGAGACCTCATAGCAGCCTTCCAGTATCTGAAGGAGGCCTATAAGGATGCTGGAGAGGGACTCTTCATTAGGGACTATAGTGATAGGACAAGGGGTAATGGGTTCAAACTTAAACAGGGGAAGTTTAGATTGGATATAAGAAGGAAATTCTTTCCTGTTAAGGTGGTGAGGCACTGGAATGGGTTGCCCAGGGAAGTCGTGAATGCTCCATCCCTGGCAGTGCTCAAGACCAGATTGGACAGAGCCTTTGGTGGCATGGTTTAGTGTGAGGTGTCCCTGCCCATGGCAGGGGGTTGAAACTAGGTGATTTTAAAGTCCTTTCCAACCCTAAATATTCTATGATTCTATGAACAACTTTGCATGGGAAAGAGGCCACTGTAGTCTCAGAGGAAGTGTTGTCACCATCTTCATGCAGTCTGAGAGCTTCAAATGCAGCAGTGGTGCTGGCCACTGGAATACCACAGAAATATCAGCTAATGGGTCTGTGTCCCTGTGCCACAGGCCTCAAATAATGATACAGAAGGAAGGAGAATCTTGAAACTTAGCCCCAGGGGGGTCCTTGGCAAATGGCGGGCTTCCAAAAACTAGCACCGGTAGTTTAAGTAAGTCCCATCTCCACTCCTGCAGGAGAGAAGGAACCTGCTGGTTCCAAATCTTGGAATATTCTATTAATGAAGACTTTGGTGCAGGGGGAAATAAATTAGTCAGCTCTCAGAGTGAGAGTCTTAAGGAAACAGGTTGATAGTATTGAGAGAAAAAAAGGAACATTTTAAAATGTGAGTTAGATAAGCTCGAAACCATCTAAAGCCTTTAAACCATGTCAGAAAAATGTCACTGCACTCCTTTGCTTCAACAGTTGCAGCTGTTTCACTATGGTAAAAAATCATCTTTTAAAAGAGATGAGTCTATCATGAATTAATCATGCTATCCTACCTGACAGCATTAGGCTGTATCCATGCCAGCATCTGATGAAGTGGTCAGAGACTGCTGATGGCTGTTTCTTCATCAAGGAAGCGCAAGCCAGCCCAGGGAGGATGGGTTTGGGTCTGTACATTCTGGAAGCCATGGCAGTGAGATGTGTAATGTGGTTCTGCATCCCACAGGGTAGGATGTTCAGCCTCAAAAGAGGGTCCCGTTACCTTGTCACTTTTGGGGTGAGAGAGCAGCTCTTTCTTGCCTACTTTCCATTAAGCAGTTGCAGCACAGGGCCACAAGTGCTGGACCCAGGGATCTCTATTGTCCATCTGGTAGGATGCTCCCTTTGAGCCATCAATTCTCAAGCTTTCCTCAGATATCAGCAGAGATCAGGACCAATTACTAACATAGTTGTCATACTGGGAGAAAGAATTTAATAAGGGCATAGCCATACCCCACCTTAGGGACAAGGACAGGAGTGGTTTAATTTTCTGGCACCAATGTGGTCATGCACTGCAAGGAGGACTCTGTAACCCCAGTGGGGCAGGCAGCAAGCAGCAAGCAGGTCCAAGGGCTGCTCAGATAGTTTTAGTTTATCAGTGAGTGGATATAGTAAACATGGACAAAAGCGACCAGAGTCTTCTAACCTCTTCCTTGAAGTGCTCCTGCCTGCCTCGTGTGGAGAAGGGAGAAGAGGATCTGAGTACCTTGTTGCTACAGTGCAAAACTAGGCAGCTCCTGGTCCAGGCATTGCTTCCCAGCAGAGAGCTATGGGGATACTCTCTTCCAGCTGCAGCTGCTCCTCCTCTTGGTTTTTACTGGGCCAAGTACTCTGTTGAGGAGCTTGAGCCAGCAATGGCCAAGGACCAAATACGTCACCCGAGTCCCATCATCTCTGGAGTGCAGTGATGCCAGAGAGAAGGCATTTGAGGTCAGCCCTGCACGTGTGACAGGAGCAGAAAACCATCAGGACACACTTTTTTTTGTTTTTTTTTTTTCCTGAATTTTGCTGGCACACATCTCATGTGTCAGGTCATCCCTTCACACATACACATGTGTGCGCTTCATTACAGCTCCTTGTCTCCCTCCTTTCCTTCGCTTTGCCCCACTTCCCTGCTGTATCCTCCTTCCACCCTGGGGCTTGGAAGCTTCGTTGAGCCTCTGCAAGAAAACTGCTTCCAGCTGTGGGCTGTGACAGGCTCTCAGCCGCTATGCAGCTGTTCTCAGGCTTCTGCTCCCTAAACCAGCAGGACCGGTGGGGAAAGACTGATCCTTGCTGCTGACTGTCTTCACAAGCAGTTACATGAGCCTGCGTTAGAAGGTTGCCTTTGGACATTGTCAGCAATAGGCACAGGACCCTTCCAACAAGCTAAACCAACGAGCAGGGCTACAAGAGCTAAAGGAAGATCTCAGCAGGTGGGTCATAGCAATCTTATGTCATCCACACCATTAACGCAGGAAGGGTCTAATGGATTCTTGGGAAATTTAGCCTTCTTGAAGCAAATTTGGCAAAAAAGGATCTTGTATGTGCTGTGGCAGGCAGCTCTGTCTGTGGCATGTGTTTTTCCCCATGTGGTTACCTATCGACCTGTTACTGATTCAGTCTGGTTGGATGTCAAATATCATCAAATTCTGAAGGAAGTTGTTCAAGCCTCCTTAAAGCACTCCCTCTGGCTTTGACCTTGGTTACTTGGGCCACCGAAGATCAGATTTATGAAAGGTTAAAATTCCTGTGAAGCATTTCAGCTAGTTTCCTAAGGTAACTTTCCTTTTGTGCCAAAGGCTCTCCTCAGTAGTGTCCAGACAGGTTTCTCCTTGAAACCAATGGGACAGAGGTGCTGAATTTGTGTTCCTGAAGACAG